TGCTGCAGCACAGCCTGGGGATGGGAGAAAAATAGGGGGTAGGAATTGGGGGGGCGCTGGTCAGCATTGCTGGTGGTACAATAATGTCACTTCCAGCTCAACCAGAAATGACATCATCACATCACTGGATGCACTAGCATTTGGCCCAAACTCTGTGGTAAAATCATAGAATTTTGGCTGAATGCTAGACTGTCACCAGTGACACAATGATGTCACTTCCAGTTGTACTGGATATTACATCATCCCATCACCTGTGGCATCACTACTTTACCAGCAAGGGCCCCAACTCAACTAGTGAGTCTGTCAGTGATTGCCAACCTTATTCTGGCAACCCTACCTGAGATAGGATTCCTGCAGTGGAAGTGGGTCCGAAATCAAAACCAGCTACAAAGTTGGGATCCTGTGACAGATAAATGTTCAGGAGCAGAAGGAGGAGGTTCAGTGCATTCAGCAAAGATGGAAGGAGGTCTGGGAGTAGAACCAACTACAAGGAAGGAGGTCTGGGTATCAAACCACCTGCAAAGTTAGAAGGGTGGATGTGCTCTGTTTATAGGTTTTGAAGTGACTAGATTTCCTTGGGGACATTTATTATTGGCCCAGCCCTGTGCAGGACTTAGGGTCCACAGCAGTCTTGGATCAGTGGTGCAGGATCTTGTTTCCTATTGGTGTGTCTGAATTTTTGGTGAATGTAGACAGAGGAAGATTAGAGTGGAAGTCCAAATATGGCATGCTAGATGACAGGGCATAGCAGGTGATTGAGTCAGTGGCTTGATGACATTCCCTGGGCTTGTGATTGAGTTACTGGATAAGCCTGTGTTGTGGAGAGGGCTCTGAGGTTGCAAGTTATTGTCCAGCAAACCTAAGTCCATTAATCTTGGCTATGTTGTGAGGGAGCTCTGGAGGCTTTAGACAAAAGGCCTTTAATTAGTGAGCTCCTTGAGGCATTCTATATGTTGTGCTACTGAGGACCCAAAGAAATTCTTGCTGGTTTCAAGGGTTTGATAGCAAACTGGATATTTTATCCAGCCTCTAGCACAGGGTTGAACGAGGGAACTGCTAATGTCTTTTCAGTAGGGTTGCCAACCTCCAGGTGGGGCCTGGTGATCTCCCAGAATTACAGCGTATTTTCAGCCCACAGAGATCAGTTCCCCTGGAGGAAATGGCTGCTTCTGAAGTTGGACTCTATGGCATTAAGCCCTGGTGAGGTCCCACCACTCCTCAAACCCTCCCCTACACCCCCATATCTCCACAAATTTCTCAACCCAGAGCTTGCAATGGTAGCCATGTCAGAGGATCTTTTGGGGTGAGCAAATGTGGGGATGTCTTTGTGGGAAGCAGCTTCATATGTATGTGTTAAGTGCCATCAAGTTGCTTTCGACTTACGGTGACCTTATGCATTGATGACCTCCAAAACATCCTATTGTTAACACCGTTGCTCAGGTCTTGCAAACTGTGGGACTGTGCCTTCCTTGACTGAATCAGTCCATCTCATGTTGGGTCTTCCTCTATTCTTGCGGCCTTCAACTTCTCCTAGCATTATTGTCTTCTCTTTTCTAGTGACTCTTGTCTTCTCATAATGTGACCAAAGTATAGCCTCAATTTGGTCATTTTAGCTTCAAGGAACAGTTGACTTGATCTAAATAAGGGTGGGCATGAACCGGGAAAATGATGTTCAGTTTGTGGTTCACGGCATGCTCAGTTTGCGAACCACGGACTGCCACAAACGTTTTGGCACTAAACAAACCTGTTCGATTCATGAGGTTCGTGATGTGGTAGAACACACACACACACGGCATGTTAGAGAAACAACATTCACAGGGGATCCCTGGCTGTCTCTCTTCTACCTGTCTGCCAAGTTTGGTGAGGAATGGATTTACAGGGTCTGAATTACGGCCCCCCCAGAGAAGGTGCCCCATCCTCTATTGTTTCCAGTGGGGGGGGGGACAACAAAAAAGGCAAGGGTAATAGAAGCCCAGCAGAACAGAATCAAAGTCCCAGAGAATCTCTGCAGTAGAAACTGAAGATTGGGGGTAGGGGCATTTTTGCAAGCCCAGCAGAACCAGTGCCACTGTGGCACTGCAAACTCAATAGGACTAAGGTCAAGCCAGGAAGGTGCTTTTGGGGAAAATGTTAGGTACAGGTTCAAAAATGGATCCCCTGCAAGTTACACACACCAGATGCACAGGGAACTTCACCCTGCCACCCACTCTTCTACAATCTTTCTAAGTTGGGGGTAGATTACATTTCTGGGGTCCCAGTTACGGACCCCCCAAAAGGTCTCCCCAGTGCTCTGTCTGGAAATGACAGCTGCAGTCACAGGAGTCTATGATAAGGCTCAGGAACAAGCCAGTGACATCAAACTCACAGGGAAACTTCACCTGGGCAGACTCCCCTTCCCAGCCAGACAGTGGAAGCAAGGCAAGCATCCC